CGAGGCTGGACAAATTTTATAACGGATAAGTGACTCTGTAATAAAAATTTACATGCGCCGAGAAACCGTTAGATATTAGTAGACAGCTGTGGATAAAGCAGTGGCTTCGTTACCGTATCATCTCCTGATTGTACACATTTTCGCCAATCCACTGCATATCATAGACCCCTGGGCGCTTGTTTGCATGAATAGTCAAAGAACAGGTACACTTCTGTACCTTTGCAATTTATCTCTCCTCATGACGTAGGCTCATCAGCAGCTTATGCGCGACGGCGTATCCACACTTGTTTTACCAGTCATCCTATTAAACACGATACCGATATGCCCAACTTTAGTGTGTAAGTGCATATTGTCGTCGTTTGTAGAGACATGCGCGTCGGAAAAGAATCACAAGACTTTCATGCTGAGCGACATAGTCTATAACTATCCTTACATTCTTAACCTTTGATCGCCTTCCAGATCCTGGCGTTTAGCACTCACCCCTGTACATGTACGAAACTGGTGACGCGGTAGTGTGAAAACCAATACGATTTAGATTTTCGATTTAAATTTTGTTATCCTAGCAGGTGTGCTCAGTTACGGTAGAGCTCGTCAACTCTAACATATTGCTCTGATGTTGTAGAAGAATTAATTAGCTACATGTCAGAGCCAAATATAGTTTGCCGTAGGCGGAACACGGCCCTACCTTTTCCTGATAGTTTCGTTTTCGTAGGTCCGCGCACATTCATATAAATGCAGTTGCGGCGGGAGGTGACACATTGAATGTAAAGCTCGGCTGGTTATGGAGCTCGTTCGCCTCCAATTGAATCGGCGGGGACCCAGGTAGGGTCGTGGTTTCCCCATAAGTTTGACTGTATTCTTTGAGCTTCTCCTAGCGTAGAATTCGGTGCTATGTACCGCTATCGTTTAGCGATCTGTCAAGACGAACACAACCAAAGAGAAAGAAACTGATTATATGTAATTGTGTAGTTGGAGATAGAGTTGGACCTTGGTAGTCTGTCAGTTGGAGATGCAAAACGCGTCCCGAGGTCATATGAATTAACCGATTACATACATTCGTATTTTATATTAATAACTTTAGATCTCCCCCCTTCGTACTGAAATCAACCTTATTTATTTGTCTAACCCGACACGCTTGCCCCTCGAACGGACGTGTGCGCATACCGTAGCCTTGACGCGTAGCGCGAGAATGCCGTCGATAGTAAACATTATCGTCTCTACTCCTGCGCAACCTATGGCCGCGTGAAAAGAATGCACGAGGCCGATACTTCCTGATTTAGGATTCTGCAATGGAAGGTTCCCGCCAAAGATGGGCGTCCGTAGCCAGGCGCCCGTAATTTGTTGCCCGTAATCAGGCGCCCGTAATCAGGCACCCAAAATCAGGCGCCCGTAATTAGTTGCCCGTAATCAGTCGCCCTTAGCCAACAAATCGCAATCAAATACTCATATTTAGACGCCTGTAGTCAGGCTTCCGTAATCAGGTGCCCGTAATCAGGTGCCCGTAATCAGGTGCCCGTAATCAGGTGCCCGTAATCAGGTGCCCGTAATCAGGAACCCGTAATTTAGCCGCCAGTCGGAGGGTGTACGAGATAGAGATAGACACCCCTGAGCGTTTGTTATCATGTTTAACTATGCGTAGATGACCGACGTCTATGAGCCTCGATTGCGCTTTATAGCCATGACGTTTGACCCCGGAAAGGGTTTTTAATACCGCTGAAGCAGAGAAGTGCGGAGCGACAAATTAGGGAGCCCAGACCGAGGTGGCGACTCGTTTGCGGCCATTTGAGACAATGCGATGACGCGAGGCGCTGGGGACGCATCCAATCAGTGTATACGTCTCTGGCAGCCGACTGCACACGCAACCACCGGATGCGAGCGCAGCATTCACGAGGCACACCCGCATCCCGTTCGCCTTCCAGATAATAAATATCGTTGAAGGGCCTGTCCGCGAAAAGGGTTAAGTTATGACTGGTTTGACTTCAAGTGTGAAATTTTGGGAATTCTGAAAGAATCTCAGTGCCTTGCGTGCGGCTGAAAAGGCTCTCACGAGAGAGCTCTCTCTCTCTCTACAGTGTGTATTGGTGACGTGGCATCACCCTCCATATCCTGTCGTTCGGTCCCGAGAGCGTGCGCGGCGTCCTCCGCTCTCAAGCACTGCAATCTCGTCGTTCATTCTGCCTTTCGCCAGACCAAGCACGGACCATCAATCAAGCCCTCCATCCAGCACCATGAACATCAAACTCGCCAGCGCCACCATCATGACCGCTGCCATCGTTTGCGCGGTGACAGATGGTCAGCAAAACGCGTGTCGTGACAAATGCCCCTACACGATAGATGAAATCGAAAGGCTGAATGACTGTATCCTACGTGTCCCGATCAAATATTCTGAAAAAAAAAAAATATTGCTGCGGCCAGCAATGTCCCATTGAAACCTTGGCACTGTGATGACGAGCCCAGGTCTCGCGATCACGCCGGATCTTCACGTCGAATGATGCGGGCAAGAGTGCTCGTCTAGCTGTCGTCACCCGCTGGTGGATCTACGAGCCAAACGGTAGCAGTAACAATGGTCCATAGCTAAGTGTTATTGTCAATATACTGTCATTGCTTCCGAATATTCTTGTGTACATCCCTTCCGGTTGTTGTTTGTGTCAATATAATGCACGAAAGAGCTCAAACTACCTGTCGCTCGTCACTTATGTCATGAAACGATGACAGTGTGCGTGACGTCTTACTTTCAATGCACACAAGCGCTTTTATCCATGTCCCTCAGCATTCAGCGCTGTTATTGTAGCTATATGTCGTTGGTCTGTTTGGTAGAATGGCACCACGAAGGAAGTGGTGAATGCATATCAATCCACCACGGAACTTGGAGAAGCTGCCAGGTTGCGACTTTCTTGTAAGTGACAAGTCAATACTGTCAATGACAGCGTATTGTTCATAAAAGACATCGAAGGTTCGACCTTGTGAGATGCATCTTTGTGTTCGTCTTGGTTTAAGTATCATGCATCCTTGATGCCACAGCTAGCAAAGCAACTGCCTGCTGCAGTCCGCTCATATCGTTGTCTACACCCTTGTGAATTACGGTGTGAGTAAATGAGCCAACGACGATCGTTAGAGTCGTCCTCGTATATATTCCGGGTAGTCATATTTGATTTTTTGTCTGCGCACATCGCCACGACATTGTGTTTTAGCTGAACTAATCAATCCGCAAATCAAATCGACGGCAGTACAAAAATATTGTGCTCTGACTGCACAATTTAGCACATGGGCTGACAATGACAACACCTCTAGATGCAGGTCCGCGACTGGGGGCTTATAAGTACGTGCAGGGCTCTAGCATATGTGTATGAGTACGACCCAGCAGCGCGCAGTACAACGATATAAACTGCGTCCAACGGTGTCAATCTGATTAAGGTGCAAGCAGCTAGTATAGCTTTACTAAACGACATCAAATGTATACAGTAGTGTAGCTAACATCGGCCGACAAAAAGAACGCCACTGCACGAAGAGCATGTATCATGATCGGCAACGACCGTTGAGACTTGCGGACGCATTCTTTCATACAAGGAACCGGTCCATCATGGCTACATTAATGAGCTCGTTTGTGTAGCAGCGACAAGGAGCTGGGATACCACATGATCAGCTCATTATCAACTTCTGCGTTTCCAAGCAACGAGAATGACGTTCAACAGAAGCAAGTTATTCGAACGAAGACCGACCTGTCACTAGGGAGTCGACAGCTTGCGCCATTGTCGGCCTGTGCGCTGCTACATTGGACATATTCGGAGACAACAATCGAATGTGGCCAAAACGTCTGACTGGAAGGCTGGTCTCTTTTCAACGCTGGTCGTCGGCTCTGTAGACGGCTGCTATCATCGATCAGGCGCAGAGCCACAAAGAGCTGAAATGGATTTCGGTGCGCCGCTTTTGCCTAGCACGTATTCTCGATCCGATCGCTCCTTTTGAGAGCTAAGGAAAGGGCATCTTGCCATTGCGGATTCACCACGTTGATCGAAAAGGAATCGGACAAGATGTCCGCTAGTACGACAGCAAAAGCGAAACGGAGACGTGCATCGAGCTTAATTCACTTTGAGCGCTCTGTCGGTATTCCATGAGCAGCAAAACAGGACGAGCTTGTAGCCTCGGTGTTGCATAATCGGGCTCCCGCTCGAGGAATCACAGGGCGAATTTTGCCTGGACTATCGAATATAAGATCGACGCAAAATGACGTTCACGACTAGAATCCAAGAACAGTAGCGCGAACCCGAATGCCGTCACGTTCCATTTGCTTGAGGCAGGCGTATCATAGTTTATTGGAATAACGCTCAGCTGCACATCTGCCTCTTTGCTGCAATTCTCTGTCTCTTTGTCAAAGTACTATATGTTGAGCGTCTCTGCTGATACAGCGTATCTAGTTCATCACACAGTCTGGTGGGAGCCCCACCTCGAGATAAAACTATTAGTTGTCGATGACATTTCACGCCCAGTCACACAAAAGCTGAAGCCATTTTTTGTGTTGCTCTCTTCTTTGCATGCAGTTGCGCACAGTAAAATTGTCCAGACTCTTATGACATAAAATCATTAGCGACCGTCAACTCGAAGCTAGACGAGAGAATGCTAGGTCGGCAGCCAAGTGTGCCAATGTACCGAGGCGGGCCTTCTGGAGAAGCGGCGTGGTGTTCAACTTACCTTGGGCGGCACGTGCCCCTTGTCGTCCAAGGTAAGTTGAACACCACGCCGCTGGGGTCAAGGCAATAGTATACTGGCGCACATGAGGGCGTTGGGTTGACTTTTCGGCGACTTAAGTCTGCGCCACGACTTATTGGCTCTGGATGATATCAATAGTGCGCTAGTGTGAATTGAAGCACTGACGGAGACGAATACGAAACCGTCAAACAATGTGTTAAACATCATCGTCAGGCGGCTGCTGGCAAACATTGCATCTGCCCTTGTTTCAACACGTTGCTGAGCATCGCGCATTTTCACTGCCACTTGGCGCAATGCTGGCCTACAGTTTCGACGAACCTGCGAGTCTGAATCCACTGCTGGAGCTTTTCCGTGAGGTGAACGAGACACTCGCGCACGTGGCGCACTACATCCTCCGCTTCACAACCGTTGCCATCTTTAGTTTGCTTGCTGGCTTGCTAGCTACCTCATTGGACGAGTCAGTCGCAGTCCAACCTCTGAAGTGGGTGCTGATCGTGGTGACCACTCTGGTTGTGACCGGGCTCATCCATATGCTTTTGAATGTGCCTGCACTATTCCTGCTCATTACACGCCGGAACCCGTTCTCCTTCATACTCTAGATGCTGCCTGTGTGCGTGTATAGCATGGGCTGTTCGTCGTCGATGGCGACAATGCCGCTGGGTCTCCAGTGCATGTAACCGTCCCGTGACGGTGCAAATCGATCATGCGCTTTATCTTGTCAGTGAGCATATCGCTTCACATGCTCGGCATCTCTATCTACCTGGATATGCTGGCGCACTATACGACGGATGTAGCTGGTATCGATCACGCTCAGTCCGTTTCGACGAAGTTCGTGCGTTTATCGGCGTCTTTTTCGTCATTACAACATATTATTTATAGCCGCCAGTTTTTCAAGAAGGTCAGAAGCCGGCATAACCTAAGAGCAATCATAGTCACTCCTCATACATCAAAATCGCACATCGCCCCGGGTGCTGCCGTTGGTCCAATATTTATTGCCTATCAACAGGGGGCGAGTCTTTAGATCATACGTTTTGCAACTTCTATTGAACCGTGGTAAGATGAATACGTAACTATTCAACCTATTTGATTTTGAGCGTAACCCCATCCGTAGACGTAGCAATTTCTCGCAGTATTGCCAGATGCTGATTCACCCCTTCTACAAACAGATATGTATATTCGTGGACATACATTGAAACTTTACGAATCGATTCCTCAATCCTTTGAGGCCTAAAGTTGTCAATATCGACACCCGAACACATCCTAGTCTGCGTCATCCCACGCCCTGACGATATCGATGTCCATAAACGTTGTCTAACAGCATTGATCACTTCGCTGATCGTATCTGGCTATCGATCGTCCATTTCCTTCCTCGTATTCACAATGAAACATAGGAATGATATTGTTCATCGTAGAGCTTCACCATTTGTACGAAATCCTTCGGTCATTCTTCCCTCATCAGATCGCGAGGTGGCTTCCTCCGGTTGTTAAACGTTACCTCATCTTATTTCCCTATACGAGTAATAATCTTGTCGTTGTGTGATATGATGATCTATTTACATGTGGGAGGCCTCTTCTTCCGTTATTTCCTCCTTTCGATCAGCGATTTTTTCAAAAACCAGGGTATATCCATCATTGTAACGACGCGGTCCTACTGATACAAATCCGGGCGATCTTGGTCCTTATTTTCATCGTGATCCACAACCCTAGTGCTGAATCGTGATCCAGAATTACCTCTTCTATCGCTGAGAGTATTAACAGTGGGTACTTGACTCGACTCGGTCTTGCAGTCACAGCCAGGATCCATTTGACGTCCCGTCTTACCCAGAGATCCACGCAGTGTGGCTCTACACAGATCATTGCGTCAATTGTATCACCACCCGGGATCACAACATGCTCAGTAGATTTGTATGGTATCTTCGTATTGCTGGTCAAATCAGGACTTATGTGGGGGCAGACAGAGCTTTCCATCTTCTGTAGTTAAGCTTATGCCGGTTGGTACCATATAATCCATGCCCACGATCGCCGCTTGACTCGCTTTATCACCCACCTAAGCATCAAAGTAATCGATTACTATTTATAAAATTGTAATCTTGATCCGAATGTAACGTTCAGTATGCGTATAAACTTGCTAGTTCCCGCACGGATCGAGGACATTCAAACAAAACTCTAAACGCGATTGGAAGCGGCAAAAACGTAAGGGCAAGGATACAAGATCGCGAGACGGCTTAAGTGGTCAGAAGGCTTTCGAACCAAAAATCTCATTTGTACAAGGCGATCGTATAGAGATCAAGGTGAATCATATCGATAATCTTACACGTACACCCGCAATCGTATAAAGGTTTTTCGCGCCATAGCCCAATCACAATCACAATCAATCTCGGCATCGACTCTAGTTTACCTGAAAGAGTGCACCCGCCCAACCGAAGGGTACACATGGTTATGAAGTGTTACAAAACGGAATCGGAGTACCTCTTGCGTTGGTTGGTCGTCCAAGCGTCAGTGGAGAGTTGGTATCGACACTTCACAGGAGCGATCGTCACTCCACCACTATGGTGCGCGTGCCCGAATTCGAACCAGGGAACGCACATAAGGCCGCTCGATGAAGATATAAAGATCAAAACTGACCCTGGAATTGAAGAGTCAGACGCAGAAGGATCGCGGCCGGCGAGTGAAACGAAAGGATCCGCAGATTACTAGAGGTGGAGGAGGGTCTCTACTAACAAGATATCCAAAGAGGAAGATCGATCGCTCCATCAGGAAACAAAACCCTCGACCCCGTCTGGGGTCTATCCGGGGACCAAAGCGGATCGTGCTGTATACGAGGATTCCCAGTGCGGAAACCTTTCGGTTAAATCCGGATAAGATCCATTGAAGACGACTATCGTGATGTCAAAGAAAGAAGAGCCCAAAATGACAATATTTAAGAAAGCAGCGTCTGAACTTTAGCAACGCGATTATCCCACGATAGTAGCGAATAGTCCGATCAATCTCTTGAAGGAGAAAACGAAGAAGGAAGATTGTCAATTGGACCCTGTGATGGAACAATATCATTGTAAGACACTCGAGACGCTGTTATTTAGCTACACGGTGATACACATATTTAAACCTTAGCTGATCGGGAAGATTCGAGGACAAATCTCGCTCCGGCAACATAATCAAACACACTGGAAGGAATCAGCGGAATCATCGAGCTAATACAGGATGCAGGATAATCGCAAGGGTGTTTGAAGCAATGAAACTACTGGGCCGTAAACAATATCAGGTAACCAGAGCGTGTCGATCTTTGTACAAAGAGCTGATCCCGTTGACAGGAGAAGACAAGTACGACGATCAAGCGGTTCCACGATCGAAGATGTCCCAAGAGGATATTACACTGGATCATTGCAGTATGACGCATCTGAATCATATATCGAAACAGACGAACCGTTTTCATCCAGCGGATGTTGCTGGGCCCAAGTGGGGCAATCCATCTGTGATATTGCATGGAAAGGGTCAAGGACGAGCCTTGCTTGGCAGCTGTACGCGCTAAAAGAACGAAAGGACGAACGTCTATATCCAATTACATCATCATATTTTGAGGTTGCCATTAGACTTTTTTTGGCAAGATCAACGTGACCAAGCCCGCAAGGCTATAAATCAAAGGCTAATATTAAGACGTGTGAGAAAGCAGGAGACATACATCCCAGATGTTGAGACGGAATTAATCGGATCGCATCATGGCAGAACGGATGCTTGTTTTCTAATATGGAGGTCCCGACAAATCAGGACAAGAAAATCTTAGACGACCACTCCTACCGCTAATATTACGGCGACGGGGGTAGACTTATCGCACAGCAGATTTTGGATGTTTAAGACCGCAAATTTACGGGAGTTCAATAGGGAGGACAGTGAGGAGAATTGTACCAGAAGCTGGATCAGCAAGGTCAAACCCGCATTCATACGGGATCAAGCCCTAGGTGAAGAAGAGTGTTGCGCGGGATCCGGAAGAAGATCTTTAGTTGTTGATTGGAGATAATCTCCCGGATCCCACGCGAAACTGGTATGTCAAGTTAAGCTGATCTGCTCGTTTCTCATGGAAGGATCTAATAGAATGTTTTCGTGTACAGCTTAGATGTAATAATATGTTAGTTTTTACACAGCATAACCCTGAAAAGTATCTTTACAACAAATCGCCATTGGAGTATCTGTATCGCTTTAATGAAGCGGCAACTAGGGCGAAGATAATTATTAGAGACGTATCGATAAACGTACTTCGAGAGCATAAGGAACATTTTATCGGGACGCTTGACGATCGCGATCTAGAAAAACAATCGATTTTCTTGCGGCTGAAGTATGCAGATGAAATGTAGAGACGTTACTAGATTACCATTGTAAATATTCGACGTATTAGAACATCCACAGGCTCGAACAAATATTGACCGCGACCTGCGACAGCTTAGTCCGCAACACCGCCAAAGCAGGCCGTGCATTGAGAGCCCTTCGTGTGATGATCGATAACGGTGGATCGGATTTAGACTTCAGCGGATCGAACAGGTAAGAGGAACCTCGTAGTGTGTTTGTGGCCGCGGCCATAGATCGCACGAAAAAATCGGGAGATCAGGGTACTGATCCGATTGAGGATCGTCTTGATAGCAGTGCAAACGCTTCACGAAAAAAACTTGCAACCACTGCAGATCGAGAAAACAGGACGATCATGGGTGCTTGAAGTAAATGTAGTGCCAGAATAATGGCCGCAAAGGACATAAATCCGATAAGTGCCTGCACGTGTGTGGTGAAGTCGATCTCACAAAGTTACTTTAGTGAGTGTCGATATTCCACTTGCCCAGACTTGCCGACTCACGGAGGGGGTACTTCGATCCGTGCCTTGTGCTCACCTTGTGTACCCGTCGGTTGGGCTGGCTTGAGCTCTTCGTAACGGCCTTGGGAGATGTCGATCTCGCTGAGGGTTTGAGGTTGAGCGTTCGCTTCCGGTGCGGAAATCTTCACACCACGAACGGGGTTCTGCGATCTTGATCTTGAGTCGCGGCGATCTCTATTTGGAGATGTCGCGATCTCGATCTTGAATCACACCGATCTCGATTTGTCTTCGGGATCGGGGTCTTTGCTGTGCGGAAATCTTCACTCAGCAAATAGTAGTGTTGCGTCGATCTTGCGTTGGGATCGGTCCGATCTGGTCTTGGGATCGGCCGATCTTGCCGGAAGTGCGCAATGTGGGTGGATCGGTTGCTTGTTTCGCCAAAATGAAACGTGCCGATCTGCCCTGTAGATCGCTTCGGTCTTGCTCGGTCTTGTCTTGAACTCCTTGTCCAGATCTTCTGACCACTTGAGCCGCCTCGCGATCTTGTAACCAAAATTCTTTTCCTTTACCGTTGTTTGCTGCTACCCTAGCAGTTTGAGTTGAGTTGAGTTACCTAAACCCCACCTTGGCCAAACAATCCAAGGTGAGTACACGAAACACGGCGCGTGCGACGTCTCTTGATCGACGGGAGGCCAAATATCCTGCCCGGAAGAGAAGTCTGCGACGTGCTTTATATGTAAAAACGGCAACTGTTCTATTATCCAACCAAATTAGTAGCCTACCTATCGATAAGTCAATTCC